TTTTGAAGACCAGGGTAGTTCTACCAAGTGGTCACAAAGAATTTGTATAGATTTGAGAGGGGAAGACCAGGAAGAAAAGCACGTTATACTGGAATCATTATTATATGGGTTTGATTCAGAGACAGACAGTTAATGCAGGTGGCAAGTAGATCTTGCCTGTACCTTGAGGACACATTATAGAGAAATTTATGGAATTGGAATTCTAAGGGAAGCTACATCAGAGACGAGAAATAAAAATAGAAAGCCAGACAGAAATAATTATGGAGTCCAGGCCCAGACTGGATATTGGTTTGGTGGCAAAATATCCTCCAGGCGGGACTATTCAACATGGGTAGGAGAAGGTGGTCAAGATTTGTTTAAACAGTGTAGCTTTTGGTAGCCTTAAAAATTATTGATTTCGGGGCACCTGGGTGGCTCAGTTGGTTAAGCAGCTGCCTTCAGCTCAGGTCATGATCCCAGGGTCCTGGGATCGAGCCCCGCATCGGGCTCCCTGCTCAGCGGAGAGCCTGCTTCTCCCTCTCCCTCTGCCTGCCACTCTGCCTACTTGTGCTGTCTCTCTGTCAAATAAATAAATAAAAAATATTTAAAAAAAAATTATTGATTTCATATTCTTCACTAAGGTAGGCCTATACACATCAAATGCTAGAGGAAAATACTAGAAAAACTATTTTTGGGGCCCTCAGGCAAAGAGAAGATGAAAGCAAAGAGAAAATGAAGGAAGGCCCTCAATTCTAGCCCTATGTGTGTTAGAAAAGGAAAGGAATCAATTTAAGAAGTAGGTTAAACTTTTGGAAATACAACTGAGTCTCTGTGGAAGTAGCAGGGTAATGGCAGAGGGGAATGAAGCACTATAGGCTTTACAGTTCTGGAAGCTGGGATATCAATACATCAGTTAAAGGTGTCCTAGACACAAATGCTATTCAAGGCCTGGAATATACAAAAGGTGACAAAGCAGTGAATCAAGGAACCCATTGGAGGAGAACTGATTCACATAGACCACGAGAAACATAAGCTCTGAAGCATCAACAGTAATGTAGTTCAGCAATCTGCTAAGAGTGATTCTTTAGCTGAATCAAATATGACAACTAGGCAAAAGTCTCTTTCCTAGGCAGATTTTATAGTCCTAAGCAATTTAATAGCAAGAAGCTATAGGAGCACCTTCTGTAGTCTAGGATCAAAAAGGCCTGCTCCTTGGTTGTTGATGAGGTCCACAATTACTTCAGCATCGGGATGCCAGAAACATGATATAAGGGAGAATGCAAAATTAGAGATTATGACTGTGTAGAAAGGCAGGGGCATGTCAAATAAAACATAGTGATTTTATTTGCACGTTTCTAACTTTGCAAGATTGTAATGTCCAAAAAAAAAAAGATTGTAATGTCCCAAATGTTACTATCTTAGAAAGAAGACTATGCGCACAGCCTCAGCATCCCTCCCATATGAAGATACATAGTGTCAAAATTAACTACCAGATAGGAGACTGACCCTGATTCAGTATAAATTCAGAGACTGTGGATCTCAGATAACCAGCCTAGACTCACTGGCATCATGAAGAGGTTAAACCAAGATATTTTCTTGATCTCACTTCCTTTTGTCCAATACTACTGAATCTCTGTTAGGGTCTTTGTTGACACTGACTCTGGGCTCTGGAAACATAATTTAACCTAAGATAACAAGATTGAATTGTTTTTCTAGATTTGGCGGATTGGGGGCCAGTGTTGTGATGGTCTTTGGTGTTCTTAAGTCTTGGAGCCTCTAAACACAGGACATCCCAGACACGCAGTCACTATGCACCCTAAAGGATCTATATCCATTCCACAGAAGACAGCCTAGGTTGGAGCTGCAAAAGACACCCCAGCTCTACTTGGCAGCAAAGACCTTTCTAGCTGAGAGAAGGCAGAAATAAGAAATTGGAAAGGATGAAGTCTGGACTTTAATTTCTTTGGATATTTAACTCGCAAGTGCAAGAGAATATGATTTTGCACTTTAATTCTTTTGACCTCTGAAATCTTTGGACTAATTTGCATGGAATTTAATTTTTAACTTCAATTTCCTCCCAGGAAAATCCATAAGAAAAGGCAGTTAAGATTACATTTGGGGGATGCCTGGGTGGCTCAGTCGGTTAAGCGTCTGCCTTCAGCTCAGGTCATGACCCCGGGGTCCTGGGATCGAGTCCCACATCGGTCTCCTCGCTCAGCGGGGAGCCTGCTTCTCCCTCTGCCTGCCACACCCCTGCTTGTGCTCTCTCACTCTCTGACAAATAAAATAATAAAAATGTTTTAAAAAAAAGATTACATTTGGGACTTCATATGTTGATGACATTTTTACGATTTAAATGTATTTGTTATTTTACCACATTGCCAAACCTTTGATAAATTACATTGGACAAGGTAGCTGGACATATTTTGGGAAGGGAAATAGAATATAGAAAGAATTTTTAGCCTTGGATGCAGGTTTTAGAATTAATTTAATTAAGGTGTCATTTTGACCCATTTCAGAGCCTCCCAGACTTAAAAATAAAACACTGCCCACCAGCATCCCAGAACTACAGCTGGTGCTGGGGAAATAGTCTTTCGAAAGTGGGGGACCAGGATTGCCCAGGTAGATTGTTAACTTTGTCTCCAGGGGCAGCCACACCACTAGCTAATGGTTAAGCTTAATAGAGCGAGAGAAGAAAAATCTGGAGAATGTTGGAGGAGGGGAATCTTCTTTCCTGTGACTTCTTGATAAACTTCCTGGTCTTTCCTCCTCATCACTCACTCCTTGCAGAACTTGTCAGACTTACTGTCGGCACAAGCAGTGCTGCAGGCTCTCCCCTGGCTCCCTCCTTCTTATCTTGGAGGTTGTCCTGCCCGCTGCACACGTGTTCCACCCTGTTCTTCCATGCTGTGTGTATTCCAGTAGCTGCACTCTGCCCTGCGCAGGGGCTCCGCGGTGACCCACAGAGCCTGTGATTTGCATAGGAAGCCTGTCTAGCTGTGGGTTCACAATTTTAGGATGCATTCACCTGCAGGTAGCATGAGCCATCAATATTAGCTCTCTTACTGATAAAGGTCATCTTTTGATTGCCATTTGTGTGACTTCTGTATTTGCCTTTCAGTTGGTTCTTAACTTGGGCTCAGAACCTAAGTATCATTTTAACTCTTTACCTCCGTTAGAATTACTGTAAGTTTTAGGAGGTAGAACTGACAGGGCTTGCTTATTAATTGGGTGTGGAGTATGAAGGAAAATGACAGATCAAAGATGATTCCTAGGTTTCTGGCTTGTGTGAGTAGGTAAATAGTGGTGCTGTTTCATGATACAGAAGCCCTAATTCTGAGATTAAAGGTGTGCATGAGGTGAGAATGACTAGTGTGAGAGAGAGGCTGTACCCAAGGTGAGGGATTTGGGGGAGGCTGGGTTGGCACTATCCATACAATGAGAATGACTTAGTAAGGATTGGATGGCTTGGTGGCTGGGGGAATGAGTAGGAGGCCATTGATATAGTTCAGGTAAGAAACAAGGTCTTCAAATAGGGTACTGGAATAGAAAGGGTGATTAATGTAGGAGACATTTAGGAGGTAGACTCAATGGAACTTGGTGACCAGCTGGATATGGATAAAGGGATGAGGGGAGTTGAGACATTCCAAGGTTTTAAGTTTATGAACTTGCCCATCCAAGTTAAACATTTGGTAGTGACAAATGTTGATTTGATAGATTCTGTCATTTTAAATATGATAACTCTTTTAACTACAATGAAGGCATGCAGGATATAGGGAAAGAAAAATGAAAGATAAACTTCTCAAAAGTGTAAATCTCCTATTCAAAGAAGAAAAGAAGAAACTATCCAAACTTAAATCAGCCTCTAAGAGTAATCTTTTAGGTTGAGACAGTCTTCCTTTTAGTTGTGATACACTGTATCGGGGGTTGGCAAACTTTTCTAGAAGAAGCCAGATAGTGAATATTTTAGGCTTTGCAGACCATGTGGTCACTGCTGTAACTACTCAACTTTGCTGCTGTAGAACAAAAGCAGTCTTAAACAACAGGTAAATTAATGGGCATGGCTGTGTCCAATAAAACTTTATTTATAAAACAGGCCATGGGCTGGATGTGGCTCACAGGTCATAAGCCACAGTTTGTTGACTTCTGCAACTTACATAATACCTTACACATGTGGTAAGGTTACCTTGTCTTCAACTCTTACAAGAGGGCAAATGGTGGGGCGCCTGGGTGGCTCAGTTGGTTAAATGTCCCACTCTTGATTTTAGCTCAGGTCATGATCTCAGGGTCGTGAGACTGAGCCCTGCATCAGGCTCTGGGCTGAGTGTGGAGCCTGCTTAAGATTCTCTATCCCTCTCCATCTTCCCCTTCCCCTGACCACTCTGCTGTTGTGCATGCATGCTCATTCTCTCTCTTTGGAAAGAAAGAAAGAAAGAAAGAAAGAAGAAAGAAGGAAAGAAAGAAAGAAAGAAAGAAAGAAAGAAAGAAAGAAAGAAAGAAAGAAAGAAAGGCTATGGCTAGTCCAAAAACTAGTTAATAAGAGAGGGTCTTGCAATGTTATATGAAGTTGGAAGAAAAGTAGTGCTCTTTTGACTAATAAGGTCCTAAGTTATAGTAGCAAGGGGAATATGACTCCCATATATGAATGTGTTGAGAGCCATTGGAAGAAGATTCACAATCCGATGCAAGATGTCTGAATTTTTAAAAGAGATGGCCAAAGCAAAGAGGGGGGAAAAAGATAGAAAACAAATCTCACCAGCCCATGTCCTTCTGACCACATCTCCACCATCAGGATATAAACCTTCCCTCTTCTCCCATCCAGCAGCAGGAATAATTAGAACAAAGAAAGGCTGTGACTCATGCCTATGGCAGGGACTGAAAGGACTTCCAGGTCATAGGACGAGGACAAAGGCTTGCTAGGGCTGGCGAAGGGCCCCTGCTGGAGAGGGAAGGTGGGGACCACATAGAATGAGAAACAAAGTGAAAGCATAATAGGAGTAGGGGGAGAAGTAGGAGGTATGATGACAGACAAGGCATCTAAGAGAACACTTTCCATCGCTAAGGGAACATCCATGGAGGAACAACCTCAAAGGCTGGTCAGTGAAGCTTATGCTCATGGACCATGCTCAGAGATGCATCAGTTTGATAAGGAGGGCAATGGTGAACTTCTTTCCTCTACCAGAGTCATACAGTTTGGAATCTGTCTGTGGGAATGCTTGAGATAAGAATTATTTGACTGCCCTTCTGTGGTGTACATGTGTGTGTTCACTTGGCCAGAGAAGGGGCATAGATCATCCCCCAGTAATACCAGTCAATGGCAAATATGAGAGACAATGAATGATATAAATGAAAACAAGAGAAGCCAAGAGAATTCTGATGTGCTATTAGTTTTATGATCATAAAATCACAGAACTAGAAAGGACTGTGGAAGAGTATCTGACCTAGTCTTCTGCCTTTAAGAAAAGTTAGTCTTTCTTAATGATGTGCCTGACAAAAGACCAGGCATTCCGCCTCAATAATCCATTCCAGTTTTTTTTTTTTTTTTTCATTCTGGCAGTCTGGAAATTCTTTATGTCCAATAGAAACCTCTCCTACTTTAATCCCATCTTCTCTTATTTGATCTTCTGTGCTATACACAAAACAAAAACCCATTACCATTTTTAAGACATAGTAGAGGATCATTTATTAGGGCGTCTGAACACTAGGAATATTCACACCACAGAATTGTGACGATGATTCTGCCAGTGTTGGCTCAGTGGCTCAGATCACTTAGTGCAGACAGGCTGGTGTAGATTATAATGGACAAATAAAAAATAACCTTGTCAGTGGCTATTCAGGTGAAAGAATATCATATGTTTTATGAAATAAAGATAATTTACTACTGCATAGAAAAAACTACTGTTGTACAGTCAAAATAGACATCTGAAAAGGAACAGGGCTGCAAAAGCAAGCAGACATTGATGAATCTGTTCAAGTGAGAGCAGCATCCATGTTTCCTTTATTTGTGCTGGAAGCAATTTCAACAAGTCCTGTTAGCAATTTTCTCATACTCCTTTCTGCAGACAATCAAGAATTTCACAATAAGTAAATATGGTTTGCCTTTTTATTATTGCATATGGCTTTTTTGGAGGATTATTTTAAGGAAATATGCATCACAAATTATGCTTTTTATAGTGTGAGAATTGAAAAGCATAACCTATTTGTTGTTTTTAAAATCATTAACTATTTAGGGTTTCTCATGTGTTACATTTTTGTCATTGTTGCTTTCAGGTAAACCCAGATATCTTTACTTGATGCAAAATGGCAACACATCCTGAATCCATTCTTTATTCGATGTAGCTTTATTAGATAAAATGTTCTCTAATTGTACAAAGCTTTTATATTTATATATTTATTTATTTTGATTATTAAACACATCCCATTTTAGATACCATTATGTATTTATCAGGCTAGCCTAGGCTATGTCGTGGTAACAAATTAACTCCCAAATCTCAGTGGCCTAACATAACAGAGGTTTATTTCTTGCTCACATCACATGTCCTGTTTGGATCAATGGGGAGCTCTCTTCCACACAGTCTTTTTAAATGTTAAAGATCTTTTGTTTGATCACAACGTTCTTTGGAAGTTCAGAGTGATCTTCTCATTATTTGTGTCATCCCTCATTCATCTTTTCTTAGGTGAATTCCAGTTTTGTTAGCCCTTCCACCTGCTAGCATTCTCAGGTGTAGACAAAAGAATCAACTCTAGGTCATTCAAATGAGAAGGGATTAATTAAGGGAAATTAGAAAGTCCAGGTAACCACTGGAAAGGCTAGAGGAACAGGTTCTAACCTGAGTTACCACCAAACCCAGAACTTTGTTGCAATGCGGAAGCTACTATTCCCACTTTTGCCCCCAGCACAGTGACATCTAAGCCTCCTGTGCTGGCAGAAGGATATCTGGATCCTGTCTGTTCTTCAGGTAGTTTCTGATAAATGCAACTGAGAGCTAGAAACTAAGTTCTAGAAACTCACCCTAGACTCAGAGGCTAGGGAGATTAGGAAATGTTTAATTTTAGAATTTACTTTGGGAAGACAGAATTCACAAGTGGGAAACTATCAAAATGTGGGGTGGTTTTTCAAAAGATTTGGGACTGCCACAAATAACAGATGATTACTATACTTTCTTTTATAGAACTCATTTTCTTTGTACTTATAAATTTCTTTTTCTGTTACAGGAGTAATATAACTAGGGATAAGAAAGAAGCATTCATATTGCCACCACCCTAACACAGCTGTTATTATTTTGGTATATTTTCTTTTTGTCCCTTTTCTGTGCAGAATTCTCTTCTATAAAATTGTGTAACAGTGAATACTGATTTCCTAGTAAAATATTAAAACACAAACACTTTTCCTCGTGTTGCCACATTATATTCAAGAGCATGAATTTTAGAGGCTGTGCAGTATTGCAACAGTGGCTTTACTATGTAAATTTACTATGTAAATATAATACTGTGATACAAGTCCATAGGTATAACTTTTCTGATTACAGTTGTATGCTTATTTCTTCATTTATTCTGTGATTACATCAACATCTTGATGGTTACCTTGTTTTCCAGTTTTCATCAAGATGTGTGACCTCACAGAGACACAGTCCAAGACTCAATATAGATAGGCAAAGAAGTGTGAAATTTTCAGGCAACTGTTTTCACTAAGTACAAAAACATAATGTTCACTCTTTAGAATAAGGGGCTTTTAGTATGTATCATCCATGCTGGCAGGCAGTCTTCCTTTATAAGATGCCAGATAATTTTAAAAAATTCCAGATAACTGTTCCATTATTCATTTGCTTATGTCATCATAAATATAATTTGTAACCATCATACACAGCAAAATCCAATTTTGTTGAACTATACTCCCTAAAAGAAAAAGTCACACGCACTATAGCCTTAAGAAAAATCCACTAATTCATTTGAAATATATGTAGTGTGCACTCACTATTCCAAAGAATTCTGCTAACCCCTGTGTGAACACAATGATAACGTATGATTTCTGCCAAGGAGACATGTAAAGTCTCTGATCAGAAGCTTTTTTTTTTTTCAAAAAGCAGCAATATGTTATATTGCTTTTAAGTTTTAATTAAGGCACTAAAAGAATACTGGATTGGTAGAATTTTCACAATTCTAGCACTATGTGACTTTGGACAAGTTACCCAAACTCTCTGGGCCTCAGTTTTCTCATCTGTGAAGAAACGTTGTTAGACAGCTGAGAGCTCAGATTCCTCATCTCTGAAATTCTGAAAATGAGGAAGTATTCCACAGGCTGTCAGTGGTTCTCTACCACAAAAGAATATTAAACATATATGTATGTATTATATGTATGTATATTTACACACAGACAGACACACACATACAAAAGATACTGCTTTAGAAAACTTACAAAATGGGTATCCCAGGTAAGATTCAGAAAGTACTAACAGAACCTTAGAATCTATCATGAAAAGGACAATTGTCCCTTAAGAGTTATCAATAGTGCTTGTAGTAATAGAAGTCTTAATCTGCTTCAATTCTGTGAAAATGTCAATCAACTGCTGGACAGGATTCTCTCAAATGGGATCATTCAGGCTCATGTAGGTACAGTATGCAGTTAAAAGAGAACAGTCAACATTTTTAAGTGACTAATGGACAGCCAGACTCTGAATAAGGTACTTTTCAAATGTAATCTCATTTAATCCTTACAGCAGCCCAATGAGGGAGGTGTATTATTCATTGTTTCACAGGCAAGAAAACAGACCCAGGAGGTCAAGTGATTTGTCCAAAATGGCAGAGCCGTTTTCTCACCCAGGTCTGTCCGACTCCAAAGTCCATGCTACTCCCATCCCAACCTATTTTGTAGAGCTCTCTCACTGGACTTAATTAATATTGATATTCCTCTTAGGAAATTATCTGAACTAATTTCTCATATCCTGATGTGGTCATAAAGAGCAAAGTCACTTAGAGAATAGAGGCAATTTTCCGAATAAAGTTTAAAATATAATCTTACCTAAAATTTAGTCATACACACACACACACACACAAAGAGCAAAGTCACTTAGAGAATAGAGGCAATTTTCCGAATAAAGTTTAAAATATAATCTTACCTAAAATTTAGTCATACACACACACACACACACACACACGCACTGGCATCAGAAGGCATCATTAATTAGGGCATAAATAATTCCCTTTATATTCTGTTTTTCCCATGTATCTTTCTGAAATGAGGTAAAGAAAAACTTTCTCTCCTGAATCCCTAGCTGCTCAAGATTGGAGCCAGTTTCTTTCTTTCTTTCTTTTTTTTTTAATTTGGAAAGTTTGTGTATTTTATTTATTTTTTTTATTCTTATGTTGATCCCCAGAAGCCAGTTTCTTTCTGAGTCCCAATCATTCCCAAGTGAACCCCAAAGTAGTTTCCTTTTTTCTCTAAGCTTCTTTTGAAGGAGCCTCATTTGTAATCATTATTATTAACATGCAACTAGTACATTGGGCTTGTAAAGTCTTTTATAATTATTATTGAATACATTTTTCTAGTCTGGGAGACCAACATTTTACAGAAAAACAAAATGAGATGTAGATGTTCATTTCCTTGGCCAGAGTGACAGAGTGACTTTCTGCAGATACAGCCAAAGGAGAGCTGAAGCAGTCTTGGATTTTTAGGACAGAAACTCTGCTCCTTGAATGATAACATTTAACAGTTGCACTGAACATATGATTGCAGAAAACCCACTTCACTTTGCAAACTAATCAGTGACAGAAGTGCCTTAAAAAAAAAAAAAAAGAACAACAACAAACCAGAGTTCCAATTTATCACCCAGATTTGATTCACCTTATTTTTCTGGTTACTCTTCAAGTGTTTGCCCTTGAGTTAATTGATAAAAAGCTGCTATAGCTCTTCATTTTTTAATTTGTGCACTGATTTCAAAATGAGAGATGCAAGGCTATTTTATGTACAACAGACTTCCTTGCCACTGTTTTGGTTTGCTCTTTTAAATTCTGTATTAATGTAAGACTTGATGCTAAATAAATGGAGAAGTTGCAGCTCCCTCCAGAAACAGAAGTCCTCCTGTATTTGACTTCTAGCCAGATCCATCTCAACATAGATCCCTGTTTTTGAATCGATATTTTAAAATTCACTTTAATGCTCACTCTTGGCAAGAGGAGCTTCCGTCTTTTAAC